TTCATTGACGAGCGTCGATTTTGTGCTTACGCTGTAACGATTTCATTTTAAAAACATGATCATATACTTATACAGGCCATTAAATATACAGGTTATGAGTTGTCGAAAATTGCGAGCAAACATCGTCGGGAAGTTCATTTATCAACATTTTAAAAAAAATATTTTAAACTAAAGTTTACACTTGGGCCTGGTGATTATATTTAACGATAAAAGACAAAGAGTAAAGTGATGCAACTTTGTTTCACTTTTGAGTCTAACATTAGTTTAACGGATAAAGGAGGGTCTCCAAAATCTTCACTTTTTTGTCTTTGCTAGTTAAGATCTCAACTTTTTTTTGAGAGCTAATGCAACTATGAAGATCACAAAAATCTTATGTATTTTTCTCTGAGATCAACAGTTTTCGAGATTTTTAAGGTCAAAGTGCGTAACTTTCGGGTCTCTTGCAGGCCAAACCAAAGCCTATTGCATCTTTATATTGCAATTTTATGTAGATTATATTTAGTACAAGGGAATAAACGTATGAAAAGTTTTATATCAGTTACGCGTGCTGAGATAATTGAGTTTAGAAAAATTCTGAAAAAATGCGCTCATATCAGCCGATAACTCGATGTATAGATGATTGCTTATTAACTAGATAATCTTTCATATTTTTGCCCAACGGTTTATAGATTTGACTCCACGCTGTAAAGAAGTATAAAAATATCGAAAATGGTCAGGTTCAGATGACATTTATTTTCTCCTATGGGGTTTAACATGGGCATTAGCCTTATATTCAACTTGAGTTTTTTCGCTCATCTTAATAGATAATCAAAATGTTGAAGGTCATTTGCATGCACAATCTTGATTTTATTATTTGAACAAAGACAGGTATTGATATCTAAAGCAGTAATCATATGAGCGCATTTTTTCAGAATTTTTCTAAACTCAATTATCTCAGCACGCGTAACTGATATAAAACTTTTCATACGTTTAATCCCTTGTACTAAATATAATCTACATAGAATTGCAATATAAAGATGCAATAGGCTTTGGTTTGGCCTGCAAGAGACCCGAAAGTTACGCACTTTGACCTTAAAAATCTCGAAAACTGTTGATCTCAGAGAAAAATACATAAGATTTTTGTGATCTTCATAGTTGCATTAGCTCTAAAAAAAAAGTTGAGATCTTAACTAGCAAAGACAAAAAAGTGAAGATTTTTGGAGACCCTCCTTAATTTTTGATAAACGCCATCTACTATACGTAAGATGCTTGATTAGCCCATTAGTAGTATAGTAGACGGCGCTTATCAAAGATTAACTTATGCTTGAAGCTAGAGTACATTAAAATCACATTAAATATTATTTGTATGAAGTGAATGAGATCTCTTGATGAGTGTGTTAATATTATACCAGTCTAGTGAGCTTTTTAATTGAATTCTAAAATTTAACTGCATTCGATTCCAAGTGATTCTGTATCGAATATGAAACAAAAAACTAAACAAAATCTAATTAATAATTCAGAATGCAAATTATCTCAATCTACTGCTGACATCTATGTCAACTAAAATTAACTATTTATTCAAACTCAACTAAAATCATACGATTCACGAAAAAACTGTAGTTTTGCCATAAGTTTATTTACAATGTTGATTAATGAACTTCCAAATGATTGTTTGCTCACCATTTTTGATTATATGAATAACTTGGATGATTTAATAAACTGCTATAAAGGTAATTAGCAATCATGTTTTTTCTTTATCATAACAATTATATACTCCAGTGGAATATTCTATACCTTCAGCGATAATTTTTTAAGTCAACCTGGTCGACTATTTGCTGTACCAGTGAAAGTTACCGTAGAAAGTCTTGTATAAGCTAACTTTGATCATTATTATTAAAGTTGCATCTGAATGTAACATCTGTTTTATCCTGTGATGATCATTGACCACAATGTGGGCATCACATCAGTCCATTATCTGACTCTTGAGTCGTATTATTTGAATACTTTGCAAACATTGCATTGGATTGTATGAATTATGAAGCCAATTGGTTAATAATTGAGTAAATCAACTGAAATTTTAGTAATTCGATAACATTTTTATCGCAGTGTGTATCAAATGGAGTCATTTAATTCTTAAGCGAACCAAAAAAGTTAAATATTTTATAGGTAAGTCCAGATTTTCATTAATAGTTACAATGTATTCTCGTTGTTAACGGTTCCCTGTTTGAATCAATTTGCGTTGCAGAAGGTTATCCGCAGATGGATCATTGTGTTTATCATGAAGGAGAGGAACCGATTGATGGAACTTGTTTAAGCACATTATTTTCAAATTTAAAAGTAGGTTGATATGATTGACTCAATTTCATTTCGATTGTTAATTTTGTATTCATTTTTTACTCTATTTTTGTTTTCAATTTAGTTTGCTCAAATCTGTTCACTTCATAAAAAAGTAGAATACAAAGATATTGCTGCATTAGTCAGAAATCAAGAATCTTTGGAAGGATTAAGAGCTTGCAAATCATTCGAACATCCTGATAAGCCCAAAATAGTATCCTTCGATTTATTTGAGCCAAGCATGCAACATAATGGTTTCAGTATAAAACAATTGTGCAGTGTGTATGATTTAGCTAGTTTCCAAAAATGCGCACATTATTTCCCAAATCTTGAAAGATTGCATATCTTATGTGAATCCCAATACTACGATGGTCCAGTATTGGAAAAGCTTAAAATACTTGAACTGTACTTATGTAGTGGTGATGGCTTGTTTATAGTTCATAGTTTCCAGGTCATGGATTCATGTCCAAATTTACAAAGTGCACATATTACCGTGAATGATCGCTTTTTTGTTGATGAAACAATAAAACTCCAATATTTACAAGATTTAGTTATAAGTACTGTAAGTATCAATTCGATTTTAAATTTGATTGCTTTTTGGAAAATATCGTTGGAATATTTACATACAGGTTACAACATGGAAGGTTCAAAATTTAATCAATGTAAACTAATTTTATACTTACAGTATAATGATTGCGAGAACAGTTGGAATGATTTTGAAAGATTGTTAAAGAAATATCCCAATCTCAAGCATCTTGCGTTAAGGAAGCTTTGGCAAATAACAGATGAACATATCGAGCAATTGGTTCATATTTTACCCAATTTAGTGCTACTTGATGTTCGTAATTGTTATGGAGTCACTCAAAGAGCTGCTGATTATGTCCAAAGTCATTGTAAAAGATATGGAAGATCAATCAAGTTTTACTTCAAGCCGGATCAAATCAATCAAATCCAATCAGATTGGCCTCAGTTGTCCACTAAATTTGAAAGAATTAGTCGAGGCTTTGATTTCATGAAACATTGTTTTCTAAAAGATTTTCTTCGCCTTCCACATTTATTGATTCCTATTGATTATTGAAAACCACATACTTATTTGTACAAGCCCAATCGAAGAGCTTGGAATTAGTCTCTAAACTTCAATCACTTTATTTCGCCATCTATTTTTTAGTGTATAAAATCGATTGTCTAATTTAAAGAGATGTCTTTGTCAATGAATTAGAACTTTATATGAAATTAAAGACCCATAGATAACTTTCATAGAGGTTTCAGAATATCGTGATGCATAAATTGCTAAAATGATTCATGATTCCCTCAATCTCTATCGAAATTTTAGATTTAAGTAAAATAATGATTTCAAATTTACTCGAACTTAAAGCACTCTTGTATAATAGGTTTGTGAGCTAATATTAAAGTAGAACTTTTAAATTGCAGCTCTTGATTCAAATCTTTGTAATATTAATATTAATAATAATAATAATAACAATTAAATTGAATTGAATTGAATTGAAAGAATGGTATAAACAGTTTCAATGAAAGAATCTCGTCAGATAATAACAAAGAACAACAATTCACATAAAATCAATTGCTATATTTTTATTGTGAATTATGGAAACCAGAACTTGATTAGACAGATTAATATAGCAAAAATAGGTATAATGAAGCTAGCCATTCCCAAATTGTCATTTGATTTAGTTGATACATTAATCAACTTTCGTGTCTGTAAAGGAGCTTGAATACGTTCATCTACTGTCATAATTGCTTTCCTTGCTCCTGACCAGGCATGAGGTCCATTAATACGGTAATGATAAGGTAGTAAAGGGCCGAAGTAGACATGATACCAAAGAACTGGATATATAGATATGGAAGATCAATCAAATTTTACTTCAATGGGAATGACAATGAAATCAAATCTGATTGGCCTCAGTTATCCAATAAAACAGCAAGAATTAGTCCAGGTTTCGATTTCATGAAACATTGTTTCTTTAAAGATTTTTATAGTCTTTCTGATTTCTTAATTCCTATTGATTATTGAAAACCATATACTTATTAACATATTTTTTATTTTGACTTGAAGCCCAATCCAAGAGCTTGAAATTAGTCTCTAAACTTTGATCACTTTATTTCGCGCTCTGTTTTTTAGGTAATTAAATCTATTGTCTAATCTAAAGAGATGTCTTTGTAAATGAATTAGAACTTTAAATGAAATTAAAGATCCTTAGATAACTTTCTTAGAGGTTTCAGAATATCGTGAAAGGTGAATAAATTGCTAAATCGTTTGCAATTAAATCGAATTGAAAGAATGGTATAAACAATTTCCATGAGTGGATCTCGTCAAATAATATGTACCATGCAATCAAACAAGGAACAACAATTCAGATAAAATCAATTGCTATATTTTTATTGTGAATTATGGAAACCAGAATTTGATGAGACATTAATATTCCCAAATTGTCATTTGATTTAGTTGATACATTAATCAACTTTCGTGTCTGTAAAGGAGCTTGAATACGTTCATCCACTGTCATAATTGCTTTCCTTGCTCCTGACCATGCATGAGGTCCATTAATACGGTAATGATAAGGTAGTAAAGGTCCGAAGTAGACATGATACCAAAGAACTGGGTCAGAGAAGAACAATTTTGTTAAATTGGGCTTTGCTCCGAATTGTTCACCTAATTCATCCATAATTCTATCAAAGTCCACTTGAATTTGGTGACGTGGACTTGAATAAAAACGGGAATCGTGTTCAGCTCGTGGTTGAATCAATTTATATTTTTAGAAGCTTACTTGGAGAGTGAGGCTTGTATTTTTCATCATGGGATGAAACCGATTGATGGAGCTTGTCTAAGCACATTACTTCCGAATTTAATAGGAGGTTGATATGATTAATTCAAATTCATTTCCATTGTTCATTTTATGTTCATTTATTTATTCTTTTTTCTATCTTATCAACTTAGATTGCTGAAATTTCCGATAAATTTGCTAGAAAAGTAAAACGCGAAGATATTGTTGCATTACTCAAAAATCAAAAATCTCTGAAAGGATTAACTGGGGGATATAATAAAACACCATCCGAATATTGCGATAACCTCGAAATGGTAAAAATAGTTCTTAGTTAAGACTTTCACCTGAGGCAAGGAGTTTTTTCATAGTACTCAGGTTAAACTGATTTACCCTGATGACCCTTTTCTGTAAAACCCAGACAGTGTAGTGAATGTCAGACAGTTAATGTCTGGAGGCATAATTCAGTTCTTTCCTTAACAGAGCTTTGCTGTAGATCTATCGTTTCGTGTACCACTGTTTACGGAGTTGAACAGTTACTTTTGCCTCCAAAATTGAAATTTCACATCAAGTCGTATTCATCATTGACAAGCTACACCATGAAATCTGCCAGATCACCTCATTCACCTTCTCACAAATATAAAGACCTTAACAGTACGCTTCGTCGGAAAGCAAAAGCTTACGTTACTACGCTCATATTCATCGCCCATTTCACTCAACGTTGATTATCATCAAAAACTAGATTCCCTAGTCCACTATTAAACAAGAACAAAAATTTGTTGCATTCCTGTATCATATTTAGCAGAATTATTAATTATAATGAAATTTTTTCTCACTGATTTTGTTCAGTAATCAACACAAAAAATTTAACAATTATAAGTGAGCGAAATGAGAAACACGAAAATTAGCATTATTTTACCAGCATCTTAAATTTAAGAATGGGCGTTCAAATCATGGCTAACATGAGTGCATTTATTCAAATTTCACGATTTGCCATTCTATTTATTCTGGAAAACTTTATAATGCAAAAAA